AAGATATATTATATTACTAAAATTTTTTAATATAATCTACTAATTGCAAGCAATACAATAACAACACTGTACAAATAATAAACAACAATAATAAAAAATAATATAATACTTTGCCAATTTTTTTTTTTTTAATTAAACCTTTAAATCGCCATGATTATACAGCCATAACTTGTCTGAAGAAATCCATTTCAAAGAAAGCTTGGCCAGGTATCTGAAATTAATTACGCATTATTAATTAAATAATTAATATATAACTTGCTTTTTAGAGCAGAAAACAATAGAAATATATATAAAATAAATCCTCTTGATGCTTAAAATCCGTTTCCCGGTGTATTTTTTATCCACAGCGTAGGGTCGGCTCGCACACTTGCTCGCAGAGAGTGCGGTTTTATTTTGGTAGACCTCACCTTTTGTGTAGCCTCTTCATTATCAATTGGCCAAACAATGCCGCCGTCGAGATGTAGTTATTAAGCAAAATCAGTCTCGCGCTCCTTTTACGGCAACAAATGAAGGTAGCCGCGTGCGAAAAGCAGAGAAAACTTGAAAAGTGCCATGTTCCAGCAGAGCTACACGTACTCGGAGAAAAGATCGAGCGGCGACCGAACGAACAGCTTTTGAATATGAAATTTATTCGGCGTGAGAAGCGTAGCATGACTAAACAACAATCATTTAATTGCGCGCCGGAGAGCACCGAGTTTTGCTGCATAGATCGCTTTTCATTCGCGGCGTCTCTCGCTCTTGACAGCTTGACAGCAACGAGCTCAATTCTCTCAATACGCCAGAGCCTTTGTGAAATTAAATTAAAAATTCTCGCTGCGTTAAAGAACACCGGGATATTGTTAATTTCCTTTGCCCGTCCATCCGACTTTTTGGTCCTGCCCTCACGTGTCGCTTATGTATATTTTGCAATATGTTATTTCGCTGTCGCTCTTGTGTCTTCCTGTAACGTTATGAATTCAAAATGTTCTCTTTGTAATTACTCTTGACACGACAAAGATCGACAAAGATAAATATCGCTGAATCCAACTGCAGACTAAAGCATTCCTTTTTCACTTAATTGTCATGGGCTGAAGTTATTTGATTTTTGCATTTATAGGCTCGGAGCAAATGAAAATCAAATGACTCACATTGGTAAATTTAATTTTGAATGTCAATTCTGTGGCAAGCAATGTAGTCAGTACGACTATTGTTTGGAAAAGAAGCTAAGTCTGCGAGAAGCGGCAACAATTAAGGTGAAAAGTGAATATATAAATAAGTAAATGAACGGATACTTAATTGTCTGTTTTTTAGGGTTATGTATTTTTGCATGCCTCTAGCGTTTAATCAATTAAACACTATTGACAATTTTGAAGTTCAGTAAATAATTAATGTAGTTTCTTCATCAAAGCAGTATTTTAAACATTTCCTCAGTAAATAAAATATATGTGCAAAATGACCTGACTGTAAGGTTTTGTCACAAACTAAAATATAATTAAGGTTATCAAAAATTAATATTCTGTTTTGCAGTAAAGAACAATTAAGTTAAAATAATAATACATAATTTACTTTTTAACTGAAATTTGATAAGATGAATTTCTTAATTAATTTTAATTCTTTTGGTATGTAAATTGATTAACTAATAGTGGAAGACTTCATTAGAGATATTTTATATTGCAAGATCTTTTAATAAAAAATGAAAATATCACAGTAAAAATTGTAATTAAATCAGGATTAAAATTTCAGATTAAGTTCAAGGTTATTGTTTTGGTACTTAATTTAATTATTCTAATCCCACTCATACAAAAAATTTCCATTTTGAAATGAGAAATAATTATTAAAAATAAAATTGTTCCTGCCCCACCTTAATCTCATGAAAAATCTTTAAAAATTTAATTGCTTATGACACTCTCTGTATCAATTAATTTATCAGAAAATTGGTTTTCGGACACAATCCACTGGAAGATCGCAATCAATATTGAAAACACGTGCATGCTAATTAATGAGAAAAGTCGTGGTGCGCAGGTGTCTGCAAATAAAAATCATTGGAACTGTCAATTTACAAGAGGGCGTTTTTGCAGATCGATCAGCCAACCTTCATTCCTCTCGCACGGTGTGTGCAGAGGAGTTGCGAAAGATTATAATGCAAGGAAATTGGCGAAGCAACCCGCCGCAGAGTCAACAAGAAGCTTTCGCGGTGGATTAATATAAAAAAGCTACCCACGCGAAACGGCTTCATAAACTTTGGCGTTTATTTTTTTCTTCAACTCCGACGGCTGCTCCTCGTTAACTGATTCAAATTATAAACGAGAGAAGGCTCTGTGCGAATTAACCCAGGCGGAATAATTTCCCCGCTAATATGATATGCGATCTAAATCATACGACAAGAGCGTTTAAAGTCAGTAGCAATGACAAAACGACTCAACATTAGAACCTGTTCTCTTGTTATAAGGGTGGTCCATCAACTTGTTTTTATTTTTTAAATATTATGCCACGGTTGAATTAAAGACAAATCGTCCTCCATCAAGTACCAGCGCAAAAATCACATCTCACAATAACACTTCATTTAATAGCGCAAGGTTCACTCTCTTTCGGTTTGGGTGGTCCGAGTTTAAAATATTAAAAACATTAGCGAGCGACGGCCTCGCCTATTATTTTTGGTTCTCTTCCTCGTCCCGTGTGCCATTATTGCCGTGTGCGCTTTGTGAATGTGAGTAAAGCACCCCACCTTCGTGAATGAAATTTTAAGAGGGCTCCGGAATCAGATAAAACCGCGTGTGTTTGTTATGTAAAGGATGATACTTTCTGTTGCAAAGGAAGGAAAAGGTGAATGTCTCTGCCCAAGTTTTTGATTCTAATCCCAGATACGGCCGCTTATACCTTTGTATACCTGATGTTCAGGGAGTTATTTTTACGACACTTATATGATTTCCGTTTTGATTTATAGCCTGCTATTGGGGAAATTTTTATGGACAGTTTTTGACATTTAGTTGACATTAATATAAAATTGTATATTGTTTTTTTTTTAAATGTAAATAATTTATACAGGAAAATTAAATAGTTTATAATTTTTTTTTATTTTCAAAACTTTTTTAAAAAAATTTTTTATTAGTTAACATAAATTATTTGTAAGTTTCTTAGCTGTATGCATATTTTTTAATATTAAAAATATTCATGAATATTTAAAAAAAAAAATTTTAATTCATATTATTCATTGCAGAGGACATTTAATGACTTAATAAGGATTGAATAATTCGAAATAAATGTGAAGCTCTCTCACAGTCAGTACATACAATGGTAGCATAAATATTACATGCAATCCTTAGTTCACATAAGAAACAGCCCGATGCATCATGAATAAAAATCATCTCAATCCAAACACAATATCTCGCAATATCTATAAAATAGTGAAAATAAAATATTTAAAACCATTAAAACCTCAATTCATGAATATCTTGTAGGTCTTGCTTTTATTAAGAGAAAGCCACTAATCGACAATAATTGCAAAAGTCTATGTACAAAAACTTGCTCATCTTATAATTCTGTATACAAAAATCAGTTAAATGAATATTTAGATATGTCGGTCAGTAAACCAGAAGCAAAAGTATGATGGGTTGGAACAATTCATTTCCAATAGGAAGCTCAAGCTGCTAAAGTCTATAAAAAACAGTGAATTGGAAGCCTCTCAAAATGCGAGCAGCACACTTGGCTAAACACCACAGCAATAAAAGGAAAGCAGTTTTCGCTCACAATAAATCGTCCGTGTGCTTAATCAAGAGTCGACGCCGTTCAAGCGGCATTTCCATAAATGATAAATTTCTGCCAATCGGCGTGACAAGCGTGTGTGCGTGTTTGGAAAGGCTTAATTCCGATTTTGACTGCTGCCAAAGGGGAAACGCTCGACTGCAAGAAAAGTGCACGCGCGCATCGGAAAATCGGCCGCCGGCCCCACAACTGCACTCGCGCTGCATGTATATTGTTGGGGTTTCCGGTCGAATCGCATCTCTCAATCGGGAATATAAAAAAGAATTGGTTTGTCCGCCCTGCAGCATAAATATGATATCTCCCTGGCTGGCTGGCTCGGGGAAAGGACACGTGTCAGAGACCGTGATTGTGTTTGTTCGCAACCCCTAACCTAGGCACGCGGGGGGAGGTTGCATCCTGTTGGGTGGGTGAAGCGCAGCGTCTGCAACCCCCGTCGAAAGGACACAGTGCAGAATTGCTGGTGCTGTTTGTGTATACTTTCGTGCAACTCAAAGGCTGCACTGCTGTCTGCGATGCATACAGAAGAAGAGGAGGGCAGTGAAAAATGTCTCGAAAGATCTTCTTTGTTTAAAAAGTAAAAATTAATGAAGAATTCAATTAATTATTATTTTGCTTAATCCTAAAATAAAGTATTATTTCGTTTTATCAGATATAATAAAAATTATAAACAAATTTTTTTTTTTACTTACTCCCAATAATTACAGAAACTAATATTATTTTCACCGACATTTGCATTTAAATTTAAAATAGTATAATATTCACACTCTACAAATCAACCGTGGACAATAAAAAAATTAAACTGACACTAAATTAAGTTATATTTTTTTTCCTCTTGAATAAAAAATTGATAACAGCACTAATCATCGCAAACATGATATTATGATATTATTTCAACCAAAAACGATCTTTTCACTGCCAAAAGAGATAATTATAAAAAAAACATTATTAATTTAATATATAATTGGAATAAATAACTGTAAACACTTGGTTTCTTTTTTTTTTTAATAAATAATATTTGAAATTTTTAGTTTTAGGTCTCATTGCTTTCGTCTCAACTATAATAAAATCTTAGCAATGTTCATTTGCAATCTACAAATTATAAGAAGCATTTTTCTTGTCAATATGTAGCACGAAATAATTTTTCATAATTTATAATAATTGAGGAAAAATATCTTGTTCACTACAACAGTAACTGATCGAAGCTTTAAAAAAAAATTACAGGAAACAGGAAACTGATGAAATGTAGTCAGCAGTGTAGTGTTTTGTTTCTAGCACGCAGGATGCTACACTATGGCACCATCAGAATTTTTCCGTAAAAATTTTGATTAGTTTGAAATGTGGACTATAACACTTCTACACATCGTAGTAATTTTGATATCATGCAACGTAATTATAACTCACTTTTTTTTACATACATATTGAACTGATCCATGTATTTGTTTTCAGCACTTCACTAGTGTTTCCTCGGCACTTATTGTAAAAACAAGACCTTCCCTGTATACAATAGATACTTTAAATGTTAAATTTGCAGTAAAAAGGAGTATGTAAAAAATTTAGCACAACTTTTGAACATTCAATTTTAATTTGGCAAATCGTAGAGAGAAACGTAACTAGGGTACGCATACAGAAGTGTTGTGGACCTTATACTAAAAAATGTAACCCAACCAAAAAATTCACAACCAAAACTTCAACATATAATACAATATTGGCATCCAAAGTAAGATTAATATTATATAATAATTTCTTATTTGCTCAACTTTAGGACTTAAATATTAAATAATGATCATTGGTCATAGATTACTACATTAACGAACGAAGCTTCAACCCAAGCAGTTGAAATTCAAACAAATCTTCCAAATCAAGATTCTACAACTTTGGTCGAAGAAAGTACGTTATCAGAGCAATCCATCGCAAGCTCCCCTGAAGCAGAAACAACTACGACCGAATTATCAACGCTCAGCGATCCTTCAACAGAACAAATATTATTAGTTACCACTGAAATCCCTTCATCAACAACAAGCGCAGCGATTACTACTATGACCGATACTACTACAACAACTATCACACCTACTTCCACTGTAGCACAAACCACTACTACTGTAGCACAAACCACCACTAATGTAGCACAAACCACTACAACTGTTGCAAAAACCACTACAACTGTAGCACAAACCACTACTACTGTAGCACAAACCACTACCACTATAGCAAAAACCACTACCACTGTAGCACAAACCACTTCTACTGTAGCACAAACCAGTACCACCACCACTAAACCAACCACCACCACTACCAAGACTAGCACAAGTACCTCAACCACGACTACAACTCCAAAACCATTGTGTCTTCCGTACAGTTGCAATACAAATGTAATTATTAAAAAAAAATTACTTTGGCCTATTAATGTGAATTTTTTTCCATCACATCAGAGTTCAAAACTAGGGTCAGATGGTAGAGTACTAGGTTGGTGATTTAATCAATTTTAAGCAAACCTAAATAATTATAATTTTAATACACCAGCGTCAGCAGTTACTGATGGAGTGCTGAAGGAGATTGGGAATAGGCAGTACTTATTCAGTTCAAGTGCGGTATGTGCAATAAAAATTTAATTAAACAGTAGAAATGCTGAAGTTAACCAATAAAATACAGAAAAGCTGGCCTGAAGCAGCATCTGCTTGTTGTTCACTTGGGATGAGTCTTTTGAGTTTGGAAACTGCTGACGAATATTTATCGATAGCAGATATTGTTGACTGTAAGTGCCTCTATTAATTTCAATTCACATATGCGTTGAGATCAAAGCAAAATTTTGAACAGCTTCTGATAACGGTAGTTTCAACGGCGAATATTTCACTTCCGGAAGTGACAACAAACTGGAAAACTCTTTCGTTTGGTGCACATCAAATAATACCACTATTGCTTCCCCACCGTGGGCTGCTGGCGAACCGAGCGACAAAACGGAAACGGAAAACTGTATCGTGGTGTACACTGAATTCGGCAAAAATCCCCAGCTTGGTGATAAATCGTGTCCTACAGCCACTAAATATATTTGTGAAGTATTTAGATATTTAAATCATCACTTATTGCAAATTATTTCGACATAACCTAAAACATTTAGATGCCAGTGATTCCGAGAGTTTCAACATGTGTGCAGCAGACCTGCAAAGCTGATGTTTTATAATATTATAATTTAAAAAATCTAAAAATAAAACTTTTTTCTTAGCCCAATTTGATAGGGTCAGATGGACAAGTAAACAGTGGGTTATTTTGATAAATAAATTTTACTCTATCCAAACTTCTTATAAATTTTTAGTGACTGCGCCAGCAATCGATGGAAACTTTATGGTTATATGTGGAAAATTATACTTTATAAGCAAATCAGCAGTATGACCAAATTTGTCAGCGCTAATCTTAATATTTGAAATATGTATTATTAGAAAACCTGGCAAGAGAGTGCAGACGAATGCTGCAAAAGGAAAATGAGATATCTCACTGTAGAAACTGATGAAGAGCATATGTGCTTGGCTGAATTCATGATGAGTACTCTACATTTCAAAGTTTTAATTTAAATGCTACATGTTTTACTGCAGATCCTTACGGTCGCCAATATAACGGAGTTTGGTTTTGGACTTCTGGCTCGGATATTTCTGTTGAAGGCGTCTACACCTGGTGCTACTCGGACAATACTCAGGCAAACATAAGCTTTTCCAATGTATTAAAATGGGCCGTTACACAGCCTGATAACGGCGGAAACGTTGAAGACTGCATAAATATCTTCACGCACAACGTCGCTCCCCCAGGCAGCATCGATTATAATGATATAGTTTGCAGCAGGGGCTTGCAATATATATGCGAGGTGATTTGTACATTTTAATTTCATTAAAAAACAATTGCTAAACTTGACGTACGTGTGGTTGCAGCGGCCATTGTTTGGATCAGTTCCGTTTCCCGAATGTCCAACAGTAGATTGCAAACCGGAGGTGAGGAGCTGTAAAATTTTAATTTTATTTAAAAAATTTCTTTTTCTATTTTTCTAAGCCTGCAAAAGTTAACGAGTCCCAGAAATGGCTGTGTTTGTTCAATTAAGGATTAAATTCACTTATCTGTCAATAAAAAATAAACTTTAGCTTCATCAGCTGCAGTGGGAGATTTTTATAATGCGTGTAGTAGACAGTACTTTGTCAGTGTTGTAGCGGTATATAGAAAAATAGATTAATTAATTATGAAAATAAGTATTGAAGTTCAGAAAACTCGAGACGAGGCGATGACAGAGTGCTGCAAGTATGGTCTACAATTATTGAGTATTGACACTCAACAAGAGCTTCAATGCATTGTGGACATGAATAATGGTGAGTTGAGCGTTTGAACTTAAATTTAAACAAACAAGCTTGTGATTAAATTTTAAAATCTTTACTAAGCTAAAAATTACACAAACTTTTGAATTTGTATATGATTTGCCCTTAAAGCACAATCAAAGAAATCTGCGAGATTTTGGACATCTGGGTCAAACATGGGCATCTTGAGTGCCAGCAACCACGGTTGGTGCACCTCGAAGAATCTGATTTACAACAAAACCCTTTGGGAAAGTTCTCAGCCAGACAATCCGTACACAGAAAGGTGCATTTCTTTCAACGTGGCTGTTGGAGACATATCTTTGTATAAAATTCACGATACTACGTGCTCCACAACTTTACCTTTTATCTGCGAGGTAAATTTTAATTTTCGTAAATAAAATTTTAGTAATTGCAATTATAGGGTGATGTACCACCACGCGTATAATAATTTGAACTTTCTGGCTTAAAAAGACGGAGGACGGAGGTATTGCTAGCAGGTGCATTTTATAAATTTGTTTTTATTTTCTATTCAAATATGTAATTTTTGTACTGCCATTAACATTAATTTTATTTCATGATAAAGATGCCTTTCCTACATTGATGGAAATAACTTATTCCGTTCCTGAAATTCAAACTCTGCCAAACAATAAGGATTATGCAATCGTGCGTTAAAATTTTTAATTAATAAAAATGCAATTAATCCCTCACAAAAATTAGCTCATATCGCATTTATTTTAACTCTGTTCCTTTAAATTATGATTGAAATCAACGTAATAACTGTTATTTGTTATTTGGTACAGCAATTTATATTATTATATTTTTTTTTTATTTGACAAAAAGATAATTGACCGATTCAAAAACATAATAAAAGACAGAACTTTATTTAGAAAGGACAATTTTTATTTACACAAGCAGTAAAATGAATAATTAAAATAAGCTATAAAAAATTATTATCACAGAGACCAAAATACATCAGATCTGACACTTCCCCGTCTCGTGTATCGTGCGTGAAGCAGTTGTCAAAAACCGTGTGCACCTTTGGCATGTTGTTATGCTCGGGTGGCGCTACTTCACTCCCCATATCTGCCCCCGGCGCTCTCTTCAAATCACTCAACGTTCTACAGGGGGTCGAAAGCGACCGAAAAAAGAATTACTGTTTAGTCTAAAATTAAATTGCGGCTGCATTTCCTTTATTCGGCGGCGGCCAAGTGCAAGAGTGAAGCACGCGCCTTGCTCTATGTGGGAGTTTGGAGGGATGGGGTTGCTGCCGAGAGCGTCGCCGGCTGGAATCCGACGCATAAATTACCGAAAGGTGTGGAATGCTTTTACCGCACTCGTGCCACATTAGAGAGTCAAATTAAAGCGTTATTGATCACCTTTTAACCCAAGAGCTCCAATTTTATAAACGTCTGGCTCGCTCATAAAATTGGTATCGGTGGCAAATAAAAATTATAACTTTGAGCGCTCTTTTGCTAATCAGCATTTCCATAAACAAAAAATATCCAGGTTCGTGTTTTATATATAAGGGAAAAAATACGCAATTTTATAAAATGTCATTGGGACAAGAAAAACGAGATTAATTCTAACTCTTTTTGGAAATAAAAGATCCCCAGTATTATTCGACGTTCGATCAGAGCATAAATTAAGTTCAGAGAAAGAGAGCGAGTTTTCGCTCTGAATAATAAAGCGTTTCTGCCTCCACGCCGATAAAGTTTCAATCCAATCTCGACAAAGAGAGGTGGTGCCGTCGTGTGCCGTGCTGATGTTATTGGGAAAACTTTTAAACAGCGCACGGAACGCACTCTCCGATAAACTCGCCAGCACGGAGGTACGTAAGTTTGCTCACAAAGGCGTTTTGATATTTATGCATAATAGATCTGATATAAAGCATAAAATGTATAAGTTACCAAATTGCTGCTGCAGGGCTAATAAAACACGCGTTCGCCAGTTTAGGCGCGTTTAAAACTCAAGCTGTGCGCATCGAGAGCGCCGTACTTGGAAAAGGCGGAAAACTCATTCATGTGCATGTTTTGTTGTTTTTATTCTTTGTGTTGTTTTATTAAAACTGCAAAGCCACGCAGAAGCATGCAGCGAGGAGCTGTAAAATTTCCTAGCATAAATCTTGCTTCAAATTGGCAATAAAACGATTCTACCTTGGGATTCATTGTGTAGAGATTTATTGGCACATAAAAGAAATGCCGAGAGATTATACAATATAAATGAGTTCGGCACCAGCATTTAAATGCTCTCATTTTATGATTAAATCTCTGCCTTTTAATTGCTGTTTGACAAAAGTATTAACTACAGCATTAAAAACGTGGTTCTCAATGGCTTAATCAAAACGTTTCAACTGCGAAGTGATGAAAATTTATGTGAGGGCTTTAAATTTACACGAGTTTTCAAAATTTATTGTTTTCTTTTTCATGTTATAAATAAATCAAGATACAATAACGAATTTTGATTTTTTTCTCAATATTTACGTTCTAAAAAAGTGGTTAAATATTCTCATAAAACAGAACTTTAAAACCTTTTTTAGCTGGAAATAATTGCCAAGCTCAGCGAGCGTTTTATCAAAGATAATCTCACGCATTTAGAGTGCGTATTTAGAAATTTGATCCCACCCTAAACGCAGAACGCGATATTTGCTCTAGTTTTGTGTGCGAGTGCTGCAATTCTATGGGCTCTTAACGCTGCAATTGTGTGAGATTTCCGCCCATCCATGTATTTATCCTCCCAGGTATATAATATATAAAAGTACATACATAGGGCCCTCGGAGTGGTGATAAAACCGGCGATAATTTTATCTAAAAACATATATTGGAGGAAAGCTTTGCCGCCAACACACAGAAGGTGGGGCGGAAAAGAAAAATCATCATGTCCTGCCTGGCCGAAAAATCGGATGAATGAATGGAGAGTTTGTTTTGTGGGGCGAAAGAGGCATCAGCACTCTATAATAAATGCATTACAACCCGATTCGCACAAAAGAGAGAGAATATTATTTATAAAGGGACATTATTAGCCTCCTGACGAGGGTGGAGCAGCTGTGACTTTTATTTTCTATTGAAAGCGCGCAGCTGATTTGGCCAGATGATTTAGGCGATTCCCTTTATTTTGTATTGAGAGAGACGAGTTGATGGTTTATTTTTGCACAAAACATGCTGATTTTGTGTTTTTGTATTGAGCCCCCAGCCGCATACTCACTGTAGTGAAATAACAAATTAATGGCGTGGCCGAATCAAGGCGGATTGCCGCGCCAACTGACGAACATATTATGGAGGAGCATTGTGTCCTAAAAACAGCAGCTGAAAAACAAATAATAAGGTACTGACGCAAATGCCAATGTGCCAGTTTTTTTACTTGGGTCTCCCTATTTCACCAAAAATATTGGTTGTAATATGTTATTATTTTTTATATATTTATAAAAAAAACCTAAAAACATTCTGATTATGGAATAAAAATGTAATACAAAGTTACAACGTTAGTAAAAAAAGCAACAGCGATATTTCCGAGTGCTGCATTTGAAACGATCTAATAAGACCATCGGCAAAAAATACCATTCTGCTTCAGATAAAAGCATTTTCAAACTTTATCATATTTTATTATGGCAAATTCCCAGTTAATTTTTTTTTAAGCTTTTATAGGCTTGACCTTAATAAAAATGCATAATATTAGGCTGGATCGATTAAATATCGAGATTTTTCTCTTCTAGATCTGTCTTCAATCTAATAAAATTAAATTCCATTACCCTCATCGCATAAATTCTCCTGTGGGGATATTTGTAAACGCACCGCTGGATATAATAAAATAATACAACCATAGCTCGCTAACAAGAGAAATAAAGTTTGTTCTGCTCCCAAGCATTATTTTATTTTCCAATTTGCCGAGCATAAAAAATACTCCAGCGAAATGAATTTAAGAGAGAGGGGTGGGTGCACATGGTTGCATGCCAGGGCACGCATATGCACTTAAGGGAGGAAGGAACTTTCGTTTCGCCTTTGATCTTACGTTGTGTATGCTTAGGTTTTTCCTGCTTCTTTTCTTTTTCTTGTATGGTTTTGCGGCCTGGCCGCCGAGGGAAGATTTTTCATACATGCTGGGGAACAATAAAACTTTATGAAACAATTTATACCTCCAGCAGCAGAAGGAGAAAGAAGCACGCACAGAGAGAGTGCGTAGAGACCATGTGAAAACTCGCAAACGAAGCATGCCACACAAAAATCGGACAACAAAAGGTGCCAAGAGCATAAATGAAAAACAAACAAGCAACGCCAATTATTTATGGCCCCCGTGCATAATGTAAAATACAACATCTCCCGAGAAAAAGGAAGGGTCTTTCACACAAAATTTTTTGTTTGCACATGCTGGTTTGGGCTCTTTTATTGAGGGACGCGCGGTCATTGAACACATAGGGTGCATAAATGGGAAAACGCGCAGCTCCCCATGTGATCCTTGACACATTTGTTGAGCAGAGCGGGGCGGCTCGTTTCAAATTTTTATCAGGGATTTTTTGCCCACCAGTTTCAAGGAAGGCTCTCTCTTTTTGACACGTTTGTTAGGCGCGCACAGCAACAAAGGAATTTTAATGAAATTGTTTACAGCGCAAGCCTCTTGTGCGCAATTTGTGCAGCATATAATAATTCGGCGCCCTTGAGGAATTTTATGTAACAAGGGAGTTCTTTTTTAATTGGAAAGCCTCCCAGAGCGGGCTGCCAGCGCCTCCGAGAAAGAAGAAAAGTGTCTTAATTTTGTAGCTCGTCGGCGTTCTCTTGTGTTAGCGTGAAAATTGGGCGGATTTGAGATAAAAATTCCCTCCCTTCAATATTAAGAAGAAAAAAATGCCTAAAATTTTGAAACTTTCAAGTAGCTCGCAGAAGCTTATAATTCAAGAACAAGTCTCTCCCCTCCACAACATTTTCTTCTTCCTTTTTTGTCGCGAAGAATTAATTTAATAATATTTACAAAATTTTCAGATTTTCCCTTAAGAGATGTAAATTATGCAAAATGGGAGTTTTGAAACAAATAAACAGCTAAATGTATTCAAAAGGCAATTTAACAATTAAAACATGAAATTGGAAATTGAGTTAAGAAAAAGATACGTTTTGTAACTTATTTTGGTATTTAATTACAAATATTGATTTCTTTAAAGAGATCTTTATTTTTTTTTCAGGGAGCTCAAATTTTGTAATTAGAATTTAGAAATTTTGTGCTGAAATTCATTTAAAAAATTTATGATATTCAAGGTCTCAAAACGATCAATTTAATTTTGAAAAATTATGATTTAAATTTTATGCTGGACAACGAAAAATTTAAAATTTATGCCTTTGTCATAAACTTTGTAAACAAGAAACAAAACTTAAACACTTCATGCAGCTGTGGGAAAAAAATTCTAGACTTTTAAAAGGAATTCATTGAGCGAACAATCAATTATTTAAAAATAAGGTCCTCGTTGAGGAAATGCATAATCGCTGTTGAACGCGCTTGTAAAGCATTCCTAAATGTTTATTTAGAGATGTGAAGTGCTCTCGTCCGATTTTTCTCATTGTGTTAAAATGCCAGTAAACGAATATCTTTCGATATCAAAAGAAATCTCAGCTCGCACAAGCTGCTTCCATAATCGGTGGATATAAAAGGCTTTTATCAGAAAAATCTCGAGGAGAAGGGTCATTAAGAAATTGTCGGTGGAACTAATGGGATAAATATTGTAATACGCCTTTGTGGTCCAGCGCAGCAGCCGAGCGGCGGCGGCAAGGGGATAAATTCTTAAATAAATTCAATGGTTTCCAACAAAGGGAAGCCGGCGCGCTACTACTTGAAGAATGAAATATCAGCCGCTCGGTATTGGGTCGCGAGCAGCAGACGCACCTTTATCTATTGTGACAACAAAATTGATTTCGGGCATAATTTCGCGTGGAGTTTTTCGGAATTAATTCACGCATCAGTGAGCTCGTGAATTATGTTGCACATGCCGCCGCGGCAACAATGAAATGTGCGCCGAGATAACTTTTCTCAGAGCCTATACTGAGAGATCGTATAATAATAATAAAAGGCAGCTCGGTGGAGCGGCGGCTCTTTCATTGTGTACGTTTTTCCAAAGGCGCTATAAACCACACTGAGAAGGGTGCGGGCATCTGCGAGATCCAGGTCGCAACGAGGGACCCATGTTGCATCTTCACGCTTGAATGAAAGCGTCGAAGAGCCCTTTAGCTCGTTACGGTAATCGCAGGACGTATGTGTTTCGCCCTATCGGCCCGAGAGCAATTCGGCAATTTTATTATATTTATTATAAGGCTCATGCGTGGAAAGTTGGGCAGATTTTATTGGCGCACGACCATCATGCTTTCAATTTGCTTTTCCTCTTTGGGGAATCGGCGATTGCTTATCTTTATGTCCCGCCCATGTTTTAATGCAGCTTCCTCTCGTAAAATGTTTGTCCTTTTGGCATAAAAAGCTGTTTCATTATCCAGCATCGACTTTATACCATAATATATGGATAAAATCCATAAGTTACATATTGTTTCCATCGGGAAAAATTCATGAGAATAAGGAAATATAACGTTTTTGGGAAAGGATTTGAATGTTCACCAGTAGTTTTATTGTAATATTAATTATTTGTTTATATTATGCTCAGTTGTGATTTATTTAAAAGTTAATAAAATCCATAATTAAAATAATAACATAATTTTTGGCCAGTAAAAGTATTGAATCAATAAAAATAATTACAAACAACATCATTGGAAGCTGATGCTAAAGCTGTACTTACAATTAGCAGTAGAGGTTTAAACAGTTACTGAAAGCAAATGTATATATCTTTGGAAATAAAAACTACAAATTATGTGAATATCAAATTTAAAACGTTATAGGATATAGTAATTTAAAAATTTTATTTAACTTAAAACAGAATGAAAAATAAATTATAAAAATTATAAAATAAAAAAAATTAAACATTAGTTTATATTTAATTTTACAGAATAGATAATGTAAAATTAATATTTCAAGATGAGACTATTTTATTGAACATGTGAGGTATGTAAAAGTGAAATACTCATCAAGTAACATTAAAAAAATACAAAATACATTCACGCCACGCTTTATTTTTTTTATAGCAATACAAGTCAGATACCATTGCAATCATTTTCTCTTTCAAAAAATTACAAATCTGAAATCTTCATATGCTTCATGATGGGAAATTATGGTTGCAACAATAACCGTGACATGCAAATTATATAGTATAAGCTGAATCTATCCTAAAACATAGAAGATCTCATTTCATTATTCATACTTACAATTAGCTTGTCATCTGTAATCATTAAATTATCCATTATTTTACTTGATTTTATTGTCATAAAATTTATCTAAAATGGAGATCATCGAATCTATTTTGTTCTTTTTAATTTTGAAGCTTGTTTCTGCACTTTGAAATAAGTAAGGGTGACACTCAAAGGGCCTCATTTTGCAAACTCGCGTCGTAAGCAGAGACGACTCCAATTTTGAGCCCGAAGAAAGGAACCAGTTTGGATCGAACGACATCCTTAATGACAGCACTTTTGCTTTCAAAGGAATCGCACACAGGAGAGACGTGTATCTTTTTCCATTGATCAACTGCGGAACAAGCTGATTTGCACCTTTAGCCGAGGGACGCACGCGGTATAAAATACATAAAACACAATGCAATCGAATGCGCCTAAACTCTAGGGGAGGCTCTGCCGTGCACAATGAAGGCCCTCCTTTTCCTCTCTCCCAACACACCTCTCCTGCGCGCAGCTTGCTTCGGCCGCTCGCTCGGCTCTCGCGCTCAGTCTGTCAGTAGAGTTTTTCCCTCCGTGCTGCGAACACTGCATTTGACGCCGAGTCGCCGCGCATGCTTTCGTCGCTGCGAGCACGAGTCGTCCCTTCGCGCCCCCGGAACATGGGGTAGCAACCGCCCCCGAGTGGTGCCCCCTCACATATCATCGGATTGACAAAAGCTGTCTTCCAAAGCAGAGCAAAAATTTCCTGTATATTCAAATGCAGACGATTTCTTCGAGTGAAGAGAGGAAGGAAGTGCTTTGTGGATAATTGCAGTTTCCTGTTGTGTTGTCCATAGGAATCGAATTCCGAAACTGACCACTCTCGAGTGAATTTGGTGGAAAACTCGCTGCCAAAATGGCCCGAAGTGACGTTTGGATTATTTTGGTGATGTGCGCGTGTTCGTCGGCCGTGAATGGTGAGTACCTGAATAATTAATTAAATTTTTATAATATATAAATATATATAATAAAAAAATTCTAATTTAGTTGCAAATTTTAATTTACGTATCGTGATAATTTGTTGGTGCATATGTAACCATGACTTGATAAATAATAGGGATTGTGGCCAGCTCCTAATTATGTAGCGATCCTGAGAGAGATTATTGTTTTGTTGCATAAATTCAGTGCCGAGTGCGCACCTAATGAAGTGCGCCCTGATTGCAGATGGATTATTATTTCAATTAGCCGAGTTAAATCCACGTTATTTTTTCCTTATTAATTAGGCCTGAGATAATTAACGAGATGGGTCTTTTCATTAAATGGCAGAGTCACGCCAGCTCATTTCATCTTAAATGGAAATGAAAAACTTTTCCCACGAGCGAGAGGGAGCGCTTTTAATTACGCGTGCTATGGAGCTTAATTAAAAATATGTGCCGTTGATTTTAAGGGTTATTTGAGCAAATAATAAGACCAACCAACGTCTTCAAAAGGAAAAAGTCCCTCTTTTGAATGTGAGTGCACTTTGAGGAAAAAGGGAAAAGTGACTGGCATGTTGAGTATAAATTGGTGCGGCTGCTTCTGTTAGTGGTTGGTAGCTCAATATTTGAGAACGGCCCTGCAAAAGATGGGTCGTTTTTTAAGTGCCTTGTAAACCAAGTCTTAAGAGCGAAATCCTCCTTCAGCCAGGAACCATGAACGTCAGCAGCTCCTCACACAATATCGAAAAACCGCTTTCGTTTTTTCCCTTCAGCCAGGAATTCATTATGATGAAAAGCATGTTTCGTAAAGTGGCGCCTGTCTATCCCATTTTTCTCGATGTGGCCTGTCCGTGGGATGCTCCTGGCCCGAATTTATTTACAGGAAAACTGCACCCAATCCAATAAGCTAGGAAAACACGGCCAAAAGACAAACACAACTTTGCTCCTTTTTCCCGACGAGTGGCCGAGAGGAAAGCGGGAAGAGAGGCGAAAAAAAGCTTTCTGCACTGCTGACCCCCTCTACAAATACACACACGGCTCACAGGTACATGCACCCTCGCTGAGTATTTGCAAACAATCCGAACTTTATATTTGCAGAACTTGCCAAGCTGCCACGATAGATATCAAACACTCCAACACCACCCCAGGCTTTTTATTTTATTTTTTTCTTTTGCCGAAACTTAATCTTGTAAATATTTCACTTGTAAAATATATAGAGAAAGAAAGTCCTGTCAATTTTTATAAAAATATTTTGATCGTATTTGATTAATTGGAAACGATTTGTTTTGACTGAGCACGTAAATTTTCCTCATTTTGGATGAGAAAAAAAAGCTAATTTGTGCACGAAGCGAATTAAATAGAAAATCAGGTTTTGATGTGGACATCAAACATTTCATCTCTGGTCCGCGTCACAAGAGCAGATCGCATTTCATGAAAGCGTCACTGAGCCCAGGATTTCTCTTTGATTTATTTGAATAAAAACGAGGCTCCCAGGCTACTTCTTTCACTCCGCGGCCTATTCGCATTTTTTGTTTCCGATCGGATAATTGTTGCCCATTGAAATAAATTCCACGTGATTCGAAGGTAAAGTGGTTGCTGCTGACAACGCACTTGGGGCCCATTTTTTTACGCTGAAAAGTGTCTCAAAGTATCGCATTTCAAAAGTGGTGTAGCGAAATTGATATTCATGCGAGGCTGGTGACACGAAGTGATCGGTTTCATTAATTATTTCTCCTGTGTGACAACCACCGAACCATTCAGCACCAAATTATATATAAATTTCTCGTCTGCGACCTCCTTGTTAAACTATACGCAGTGATTTATATTTAAAATGAAAAAAAAGGGATTCTAAGAAAGTTGAGTCGGAAAAGCAGCGCGTCGGTGGCGAAAAATTAATTTTCCTGTTCACAACTTGTACTAATAGCATCATCAGCAATCCTCTTAAAACTGCCGCCGCCGTCGTTGCTCCTCTCGTTCAACCCTCTTTAAGTTTACTTTATGGGAACCCACTCATGAGAATTCGAGGGAGCAAAAAGAGAGAGGAGCACCAGGCTTCTTGCTCTGCTGCTTTTCGTCGTCTTCGACTCTTGAATGTGCTGCTGCTGCTGTGTATGCGTACAAAAGGGAGGCGTCTCCAAGGAGCACAAAAACTCACTCCACGCAGCTCCATATAAAAAGTGGTTCCATAAGAACGACTATGATTTTCAAATTAGATAAAAGTCGTCAAACCGACTCTTTATTCGTCCAATTGTGTATGTTTTCGCCGGCGCCTTTTTTAGAGATTATTCCTCTCTTCTATTTTTTTCCTTTTTTGCCAAAACAATAAGCAGTCTCTTTATTCATTAATGCTCCGCGCCATTATTACGTCGGCGCACAGATAATTTGCATACACCACGGTGGTGGTTTTTGCCGCGCGAGAGATAATGTCATTCCGCAATGTTCCCGGCACCACCAAAGGTCGGCAATTGTGTGTCTGTCTGGTCCTACTTTAGCTTGTATATATCGAGGATTTGCAGGCGCTTCACGTTTCTGTGGCACACACTCTGAAAAACTGAAAACATAAAAGCAAGCGCCCGTCATCTTGTCCTCGTCAGATCTTATCAACGTCCTCTTATTTTTTGCACAATGATTTATACATTATTAAACCACCCAATCACGTAGGAATTTGAGTGAAAACCAGAACCTAGCGTGTCTCTCTCATTTTTTTTTCAAACCATTGTAATACCTCATGGACCAGAGATGATAGGGACCACTCTTCTCTGCCATCATTGTGTATAAAATTTTATATTATTATTCCATCTTCTCGCGGGGTTTGCTGGCATTTTTAAGCCGATTAAGCCACATTTCGGCTGAAAGAACCAGGGAAAATTGATTCGCAACAAACCGCACAGCAGCGGTGGAATGAAAATGCAGCAGGAGCGGCGCAAATCCGCTCACATTAGGGGAAAAGCGCCGAACTTAATGGCTGCCAAAGAGGGACCCTTGCATATAGAGCTGCGAAGTGCTCAATTTAAACTCGCACGCAGCTGACGAGCTTATAACAATGGCCAAATGTTAAATATTTAAATTAAAAACCGGCCCGAATTTCAATTTCCCGCTCGTGAATCAGAAATTGCCCTCGGGCGCGGAATAGTATTATAATTTTCTCCGAGCCTATGGTAGACCACACTCATTGTTTCCAGCAGCCGAGCGAATTATTATACAGACGCCGGTTCACTTAAGCCGCTTGCGCAACTATCTCTGCGAGAGTCGACGCATAAATTGAGATGTGCATGCAAATCGCAGTTGGGATAAATTAATAAGCAAAGGCAGCGACGTCTCTCTCTCTTTAATGGAAACAAAAAGCAGTGCGCGCTCCAATTAAGGACGAAATTCACTCTGTGTGCACTCGACGCTCTTGTTGCTCGTCGGCAGTTTAGCGACAAATAATAAAGGGTGGGCTTATTAACAAAGTATCAAATAACTAACGTCGTGCAGAATGTAGTGACGTCGCAAAATATATAAGCGCTCGGTTCTCATCATGTGTTTCTCCTTGTAACTAATTATGGCAATTAAAGCGAATGGCAATTCATCGGGTCAAGAGTTCATTACAATTTAATTGGCAAAATAACAAGAGTACTCCGCCGCTTAAAAGGGAAGTTGCCCTGACCGTGCAAAAAATTGCGAAATTGTGCTCTTGATGTCTCATCAATTGCAATTTCTGCCAATTTAGTCTATTTGGAGCTGCACATGTTTCCGACTACATCTTGTCAAAAGTATTTACAAAAGATTTGAACTGCTATAAGTTGATTAAATAAATCATATTACTATTGAGTGGTTTGTGTAAATAAATAAATAAACATTTATTGCAAAAAGATGTTAAAATACAATTCTTACAAAGAGCTAGGAATATGTTATTATTTTTCAAAGTATTAAAAATTTTGAAGAAAGCTGAATTTTAATTTAAAAACCACAAGCAAGTTTTAATAACTCTTTTAAACCATTTAAATTAAATCAATTTTAACTAATATCATGTACTTTTATAAACATGTTTTTTTTATAAACTTTAATTTTTATTCTTAAAATTACTCCTTTTAAATTTTTATTAAAAACACAATTGAATAAGCTATTTATTTTTAAATATGTTCCATTTTAATTCAGCTACTATTTATTATATAATATGTAATGCTTACTTTAGGCTCTAAGAGCACATAAACATTGAATCACACAACAACGCCTATTTTCTTTTCTATGTTCTTAAATCATTAACATTTAAATTCGTCTATTTAATACTATTTGGAGCGCCTGATAATTTGATTGGACTTTTTAACAACGCTGTATTAGACTCCCTAATAGAAGATTAAATTTCACTTGGCATGATCGCTACAATGTAGTAGACACTGGTTTCATAAATTGGATGGAGGCGAAAGAACTTGTGTTCCTGACTGAGGAGAGGAGGAAGAGAGAGAATTGAATTTGAATGCTGGCGTCGTCAGCGTTTGGGCCGCGTCTGGTAACGCACATAATGATGTTATGAGCTGATATCCCTTGTTAAGTTCTCTTCTTTTATATTATATTGAATATTATACCCCCGCAGCACATGCATGTATAGCATCGACGACTCTCGAGGGGGATTGTGACTCCGTCGTGCGCGCGATGATTTATTCGTCGTGATGCGTTTGACATAAGACACACAGATGCACAGATTGTTATCTCTAATTTATCAGCGCGAGTAATAAGATCTCCAGAGAATGAATGTGGGCCAGGAGAGAGTCCCGAAAGAAAGTCAGCAGCTCTCTGGTTACCGGATTAAAGGCAGACGCATTTTCGCCAATTAATCTCTAATTGGGGCGGCTCGGCGGATTTTTTTTCCGACCCGCCGCCGTCGGAGAGAGAGGGAGTGGTGGGGTGACTCATCCATCATTCCCGTTTGCGGCAGGAAATCTTCAAAGAGCGGGAGATTCGCATTATGAAAATTAAGTGCACACGGAACTGCGCGTTCCACCCCTTCGACGAGTTTC